AGAAAGAAATTTTCTTTCGATTATATAAAAGGACTAAACCCTTACATAACTAGAAGAAAATTCATTTGTAATATTTATTAATTTAAAATTTTTAATTTAAAGTTAAGATCTAGATTCAAACATATATAACATCAAGTAATTAATTTTTTCATTAAAAAATTAATGAAATTAAGTGTCAACAACACATTCTAAATTAATGAGAAGGGAGGGCTTTAGTGATTCGACATTCAGCTCTTGCTTTCTAGCAGGCCAATATATATTCATCCCCTTCTCTCAGTTTGCATTGTAGTTACACGTTGATGATATAGAAAATCAAGATATCTAATTGATTAAATAGGTGAGATATAATGTAAATTTTATTATGTAATTAAGATCAAAGTCTTAATATCTTTAATGTGATGACATCAGGGACAGAGTCAGAAATTGAAGTTTGGGGGGGCGAGGGGAAAGGTTAAATTTTTTGTGAGTTATTTATTACTTTACGTTAATATAATTTAAACTAATGTTTTTATTAGTTGCTTATTTTATGTATGTATCATTTATTTATGCATAAAAAATTTTAAATTAATTAGATATATTTAATTTTATAAAAAAAATTAGATATATTTAGTTATTTTTGAGTGATATATATTTTAAAATCCCTAAATAAATAGTATAAAAATATAGTTTATTTTCAAATTGTTACTTATATTATAACAACTTTAAATTTGAAATGTATGATTTATATTAAAAGAATAAATTCAACCATTATTTTCATAATAGATAAATTGTACAAAAAAATTATATATAACTAATGTAAAAATTTATATAAGTTATATCAATATAATTAATTAGATCTTGACTATTTTTTTAATATTTTTTCTTACTTAGACCAAATTATCATATCTCAAAAATTAATCACAAAGAGAGAAATAATTCCTTTACCTAAATCCTAACTTTTTTTTAATATTTGAAATGGTCCCAATAATTTAAAACCTCAAAAAACAATATTTTGTAAAAAAAATAAAAATTAATGTACCATATTTGAAATTTTTCAAAAGCTTAGGGGGGCAGCTGCCCCTCCTTGTCCTACATTGGCTCCGTCCCTGGATGAAGTTATAATTTAAGATTTTCACTCTTTTTTGTATCGTAGAGATTGTAAATTGTGTGCAATCATACTAGCACTAATGTACTGAATTCCATCAGAATTTGGTAGTTAAGTGTGCTTGGAATATTAGAGTGGTACTAGGATAGATGATCTCATGGGAAGTCCTCGTGTTGCATCTCTTCCTTTTTATTAATGATTTGTTGGTCTAAGTAAAAAGATCTCGATTTTCCTTAAATAAGATTTTAAGTTCAAATTTTGTGAATTGAGAAACAGGCATTGGGAGAGTTTCTCTTTAATGAGGTTCGACACGGTTCGATTCTGAATTAGTTGGAACCTAATATGGTTATCAGATATCGAGAGGTTAATATCAAAAAAGAAATTATAAATTAAATCTTAAATATGTAGCTAAGAATACAAATAACTTTGTTATTAAACCATATAATTGAAGGTATGATTTTAACTTTTTTGTTATACTTCTTAAAATAAAATGTTAAATCTCCTGATTTACGTAAAATCCAACACCAATTTATTCAAAACTTCTGCTATGATATCTCTATTGGTTAAAATCCACTTAAAAATATAGAAGTCTAATTATTAATCTAACAATTTGAGATATTGCTACTATTAAATATATTATTATTAATTTCAACAATTAGATTTAAAAATCAATTATTGATTAATTTACAATGTAAGATGGTATAAAACTTACAGTTGTATAATATTATCACGTTAGATTTATAATTATGATATATCATTGCATAATTTAATTCTTTACTTAATAATTTATATATAACATATTCATTTAACATCACATTATTGTTGTGAACCTTTAATCTTACCATATCCATAAGAACTGTATCATTTATCCTTATATATATATATATTATTTTTTGTATTAACTTTTTGGTATCTAATAATCATATTAAATCTTGATTAATTTGGAATCAAGTCACATAAGATCTCATAAAATGAACAATTCTTCCAATACATGTTTCTCTATTCACAATACTCAAGTAAAAATTTTATTCAAGAGAACCTCTAATCTCACTATATCCATAAGAACTGTATCATTTATCCTTACATATATATATATATTTTATTAACATTTTAATATTCAGTAATCACATTAAATTTTAATTAATTTAGAATCAAGTCATATCAAATCCCATAAAATGAGAAGTTTTTTATTTTTTTATTTACAAAATTCAAAATAAAAATTTTATTTAAAATAAATGGAGTTTATTTCACTTAAATCAATGCATAGTTGGTTATCCTTTTATATATATAGATGCAATGCAAGTTGGTAGAGAATCTAAAAATGCATATGCATATGAATATGAATCATGAATGATGAATCCACCACGGCGTAATTTGAGGCGTGTGATTGACAAGTTCTGTTAGCGTAGGTACGGCAAAAGAAAGAGAAGGAGGAAGCTGACTCTCTTGGTGGCCGTCCTTTTCTATATATATATTTATCGAAATGGTCAAAATCATAATAAAAAGGAACGATGCCCATGCTGATTTTTCTCGCCTGGGCCATGCTAATATAAATTTTATCACTACAGTGATCTTGTGATTTACCTAGCATTCGTATGAAAAAATAGATCAAATAAGCGTGAAGAATAGACGTTATGAAATTAAAATATAAAAGATAATGTCTATCCATTTTATTTTTAAAAATTATTTTAAAATTATATTATTTTAATAAATTTTTATTTTAAAAAATTAAAATATTATATTTTTGAAATATAGACTATAATGTTTATAATATTCTCTTATTATATTTTATTTAAATGATATAATTTTAAACTTATTTTTTTTATTTTTTAAAAATAAAGTAGATAAACATTAAATTCTTATATATATTTAATCTTTTAATAATAAGAGTTAATTTATATTTTTTAAAGTATTAGAGAGAGTTTTTGCATTGTTTTTAATTTACAGGCTTTTGTATTAATTTAGAATAAGTTTAGGGGATTAAGAGGGGGGGTTTCGCCAAGATTTAAACATGGGAGTGCTTTGGGAAAAGTCACAACAGTGTTTGGAGGCCAATTGACTCATTCACTACGTATAAAACTCAACGCGATTTGGAATTGGATCCGCCACCGCCACCCACAAAAAAGTCAATTTTTGATATCTCTCCGTCTTCCCCAAGCAAATGTTATAAGCTTATCCTGCCACAGAACTTCCCATGGTTCGTGCATGTACGGATATAGTATAGTGTAGTGCAAATAGTTCTGTAAATTGTTTTTGAATGACTTATTTAAAAATTTATCTTATAATTAATAATTTAAAAAATTAATTATTAAATTAAATATCTTATTAATATAAATCATATGTTTATTAATTTTTAAATTAATTTAACATTTATAACTAGTTGATAAAAAAAGTATTTAATTATTTACGTATATTTAATAATATTAAATTTATATAGTCAATGAATTGCTTAAATTTATTAGATTAATTTAAAATTGACATATATAACATATATAGGTGAAATTAACGATAAAATAACTCAATGGTCATCTCCTTTCACTAAAAATAAGAGATCATGAATTCGAGTCATATAGCATGCAAATATGATGGAATAAGGATGAGAGATGGTTGTTTCCCATTATGCAATTAAGATAAAAAATATATATATATATATATGGGTAAAGTTTTTAATCAAACAGTTGAATTTGAAAATATTAAATAAAATATAATATTGTTAGAAATATTATTCTTTTTTACAAGAAAAAATGATTAGATTAGATGTTAGTATATATTGCTTTGTGGGAGAGCCAAACCTTAAAACTGAATGCATTTCACCAGTTGTCCAATGAACAGCGTGACCACCACTTAACCATATAAGGGATTGTAGTTAGAAATATTCTCTAGACATTATGCAAAATATTTATTTTTTCCTATACGAAAGATACCCAATTTATAAAATTCTTTATTCTTGTATTAGAAAAGAGCTGTCCATGTCGTACCTATGTTTCTTGAAACTGAATGCATTCCACCCGCTGTTCAATGAACAGCTAGCGTGACCACCACTTAACCACATAGGGGATTGCAGTCAGAAATATTCTCTAT